TCATTTTGGAAAAGAGTAGATTGAAGGGCTATTTCTTTCTGTATTTTCATGCTAGCTATTCCTCTTCATTTGGAATTCAACCTCTCATTTCATCATGTGTTACTCTCTTCCTCCGCTGTGGACTTCTGCTTTCTATGATAATAGACTCTGTTCCTGTATGGTGTTCTCTGATTCCTTTTCTCCAGAGGTCTAAAAATTCAAAATCAGGCCCCTAATATGCATCAACAAACCTCTTGTTCTTATCCTGGTCATATATTTTTCCAGTATTTATCTACCTTCTCTTGGATTTTTCCAAGACAGTGGTACAGTATACCGTGAGAGAGATAGACATGAATATGAGATGAACCTCTTGTACTGCTTTTTGCTGTTTTTCTTGCCAGCCCTTCATGGCATGTTTTCTGAAGGATACCTAAGAGTAGTAGCTGTATTGTTATTTCTCGTGTATAACTTACCAATCCTCATTTGAACTTTTTGAGTAGTACTCCCAACAAAATGTAGTTTCTGGACGCCATTCTGATAGCTTTGGATGCAAATAATTTTGACAGCACCACCTTTCACGCATGTTTAGTAACAAAAGAAATTCAACAATATTCCTTTACTTGAAGTTTTTTATGGAAGTATGCTTCAAATACTTATGATTTTATCGAGTTCATCTCATTTCTTGTTCTTTCCTTGAATTGATCAAATAAAGAACAAGTAGAAGTTAGAAATATATTTTGTTAATGTGGCTTGGAATTTGACTGAAAATTGAGAAGAAAGATTTATGCTGGAGCATGATAAACAGATCACTGTTATCAACTCTCCGTGTAAGATGCTTAATAAACTTTCCCGCCAGAAAAATAATTGCTAAGAAGGTTGACAAATGATAATGAGTTCTATGCTATGGATTTCATCTTCTCATGTTTACGACTAGCAGTTTAGAAACTTAAAAAAAGAAAAAAAGAAAAATCTTGTCTGACTAGAAATATATTGTACCATATAAACTGATAGTAAATGTTTTCCATTTCGATCCCTCTATTTTAATTACATAATAATTAGGAGAACCAAAGGAATTCACGGCATGTATATAACCTCTAAGTTTGTTGAACAAAATCTTACACTGGCATTAACTGAAAGACTAATCCCAGGAGAAAAAATTTATCAAATTAGAGTATTCAATTCAATGAAAAAAAAGGTATTAAAAGAAAGCAAATTTGGTCTTTAGTAGGTGCTAAGTTATTCTTGATTATAAGATGTTTATCTAACCTAAATTTGTTGCCTATTTTGCATTCTAGTCATCCAATCCTTTTCTCTTTTTAAGCAAATTATTTTAAAATAATTTGGTCCTACTAAAAGTCTTTTTTCTATAAATAAGTTCAGTTCTATAAATAAATCCAAACTGAACGTGGAGGCTATCAAAACCATAGTTATTAAACCCAACCCATATGATGGTTGAACTTGTCGGCCCGATGACCTAAGCATCAGGCTTGGTTGGGTCTCTAGTTGATCAGACAAGGAGTTGATCCGATTAAATTTGGTCAAATCCGTTTGACCTGCTGATTTATTTGAAAACTAATTCAGTTTTCAAATTGACCCTTTTTTTAAATACAATTAGGATAACTTTCTTATACACTATTAGTGTATAATTTTTATTACATTTGCAGGTTTAGATCATGCCATATAACATGAATTCAAGTTTAAAATTTAAATCATACACATGTGGCATTTGTCCAAAACAAGTAGTGTAAAAAAATAACCATATTGTCAGTATACAAAAGGTTAATGCATACAATTATGGGTCTTTATTTTTGAAACAATATGTATATATATATTTTTGGCAAGACTCGTACATTGGATCTTCATTTAAATGTGCATAAGACTTTGCCACTTGCTTATTTTTCATTTGATAACTAAACAATTTTTAAATAAACTTGTTTACCTTTTATTATAGATTAATCCTTTTAATTTTCAAAATTACAATATTTGAGTAGTTGAAAAAAAATTTTTATCTTTAAATAAAAAATAAAATAATAAAAAAGGATGCTATATCTTTGAAACCAAGTGACACACTTTTATTTTATATTTGATTATGTTATTTATTTATGTAAACTTATAATAAGATGAAATTAAATCTTGCATTAATATTTATATGTTCATTATATGTCTTTCTTAGTAGTATCTAAAAGCACTTTATTAGATATTTCACGCATATTAAAATTACTGTTTTATATTTATAAATATTAAATTAAAGTCCACAGGTTGAACCAACTAGTGACCTCATTGACCTCATCTCTGTGCGGGGTTCCTTGTCGACTCAAGTTTAATAACTACGGTCAAAATTGTATTCACTAATCTAGGCTTCAGCTAGGCTGATCCCTAGGCCAATTCTCGGACTAGAAGTCTAGAAGTATGCTTCAAATACTTTTGATTTATCCAGTTCATCTCATTCTTGTTCTTTCCTTGAATTAATCATATAAAGGACTAGAAGTTAGAAATAAATTTGGTTCATGTGGCTTTGTTTTGAGGGAGGAAAAACGGAATTTGACTGAAAATTGAGAAGAAAGATTTGTGCTGGAGGATGATAAACCGGCCACTATTATCAACTGTCCATGAAACTGAGTGGTACGCTACTATGCTATGAATTTCATCTTCTCGTGTTTGCGAGTAGCTGTTTTATTTAGCAACTCAAAAAAGAAAAAAAAATTCTTGTCTAACTAGAAATATAGTGTACCACATAAATTGATAGTAAATGCTTTCCATTTTGATCCCTCTATCTTAATTGCATAGTTAATAGGAGACCCAAAAGAATTCATGGCACGTGTCTATATCCTCTCTAAGTTTGTTGAACAAAGTCTTGCACTGGCATTAAGTGTAAGACTAATCCCAAGAGAAAAAAATTTATGAAATCAGATTATTCAATTAAATGAAAAAAAGATTAAAAGAAACCAAATGTAATCTTTAGTAGGTGCTAAGTGATTCTTGATTATAAGATGTTTATCTAATCCAATTTTGTTGGCTTGTTTTGCATTCTAGTCATCCAAACCTTTTTTCTTTTTAAGCTAATTATTTTAGAGCAATTTGGTGCTACCAAAAGTCTTTTTTCTATAAATATATCCAGTCTCAATGTGGAGGTTGTCTAAATCCATAGTTATTAAACCCTATCTCATCTATTGGTTGAACCGGTTGGGCCACTGACTCGGGTCATGACTCTAATTGAACTGGACAAGGAGTTGATTCAATTAAATTTGGTCAAATCCATCTGACCCACTATTTCAATCGGAAACCCATTTGATTTTTTAGTTGATCTTATTTTTTTTTAAATGATTATGGGTCTTTATTTTTGAAACAAAGCTTAAATATACTTTTGTCAAGATTTGTGCATTGGATCTTCATTTAAATGTGCATAAAACTTTATCACTTGTTTTATTTTTATGGGTAAAAAACAATAAAGCCCCCTGTGGTTAACCTAATACACAGAAAAGTTCCCCATGATTTCAAAATATACAACACGATCTCTCATGCTTTGAACTAAATTGTAAAGGTGACGGAATCCGTTAAACTTAACGGAAATGGACGAAATGACCAAAATGCACTGATATAATTAAGCAAAAGACAGCTCAAAAAAATCATTTATTTTTTTCTCTAAGTAGAGAGAGTTGAGGGTTAAGGGGTAGAATAGGTATATTTGATAAAAAATAGCCATACAAATTTTTTTTTAGGTTCCAACAAGTCATTTCCGTTAAGTTTAACGGATTCCATCACCTTTATAATTTAGTTCAAAGTATGAGATGTCGTATTGTATATTTTGAAACCATAGGGGGCTTTTCTGTGTATTAGACTTACCATAGGGGTTTTTTTTTTTTGTTTTTTACCCTATTTTTATTTGATAACTAAATGTTTTTCTAAATAAACTTGTTTACTTATTTTATTATATGGTTAATCATTTTAACTTTCAAATTGAGAATATTTGAGTAGTTAGAAAATTATTTTGTTCCTAAACAAAAATAAAATAATAAAAATGATGGTATATCTTTGAAAACAAGTGACGCAATTTTATTTTATATTCGACTATATTATTTATGTAAAAGTATGATAAATGAAATCATCTTTTATTAATATTTATATGTCCGCTATATATCTGTCTGAGTAAAATAATTAGTATGTAAAAGCACTTTATTAGATATTTTACATATATTAAAATTACTATTTTATATTTGAAATATTAAATTAATACCCATGCGTTCAATTAGTGACCTACTAGTTGATTTAATAAGTTGTTGACCCAATCCTTCTCTCGGTTCCTTGTCGTCTTTAATAACTATGATCAAAATTGTATTCACTACTCTGGGTTACAGCTAGGCCGACCTCTCGACCAATTCTTGGACTAGAAGTCTGTAACTTTTTAGCCTTGACTCTCCCTCACAAGGTCAGAATATAAGCCCATTATTTGATCTTACACCAATAGCCTAATAAAAAATTTGAGAAACAACCAACCATCATCATTTTCTGATTCCCCTTTCAGCTCAAGCCATTGCTTCTTCATTTTGGGAAGAGTCAATTGAATTAGGGGCTATTTTCCTGTCAGCTGTTCCTCTTCCTTTGGAAATTCAACCTCTCATGTCTTCATATGTTAAAGCTGTTCCCCTGCTATGGACTTGCTGCCTAATATAATGATCAAAATCTAGACTGTAATTGCTCCAATATACACTGTTGTTCGTGCATGGTGTACCCTGTTTTCTCTCCTCCAGGCATAAGCTCAGTTGCCTATAAAAAGCCCAGGCTGCGTTTGGATTAGTTATTTATTGGAATGTTTTTCAAAAAATTTGCTGTTCATTTTCTCAAAAAAGACGAATGTTTTTTAGATTACTGTCGTTCACAAATAGATTATTTTTGAGAAATGAACAGATTATTTTTGATAAATAAATGTGTTTGGATTCACTGTTTTTGAAAAACAGTAGTTCAATTTTTAATCAATCTTATTTGCATATCCTTCCTAAAATACTTAATTTGGGAGCGGTATATTTAAAGATAAGCAAATAGGTGGTTGCATAAGACTACATGGGTTTTTAATTTGTCTGTGGAAACATTAATTACTACAAATAAGAAACAACAATCCCCCTTATAGTTAAAAATCCCACGATTAAGAGATCACCATGTTCTCAAGCATATTGGTGATAGCACATATGATCAGCTATTGCTCTCCTATCTTCATTCCAGCCAGCAATTCCTTGTGCTGACATATCGACTGGTTGTGGTCCAAACATTTGGTTGCCCTGATCTAAATTATCTGCCAATGCTGCATCAGCTTCTTCTTCAACAAAATATGCGTCATTGGGAACATGATCGCGCATAAAGTTGTGCAAGGCACAACAAGCAAGGACAATGTTATTTTGCGTTGCCATCAAATAATTCTGCATAGGCCCCTGCAGTATTGGAAATCGCTTTTTCAAGACACCAAATGTGCGTTCTGTAATATTTCTTAACGATGCATGACGTCTGTTGAAAAGTGCTTTTGTTGCCCGCTCTTGTGGGGTTCCCCGTGCACCCCTAAAGGGAGCCATAAATCCTGACATATTTGTGTATGTCGCGCCCACCGCATAATATTTGCCTGCATATCATGTATAGATAGTTATGTTCATTATGGCAACTCAAATTTAGTTATAAGAAAACTCAACTAGGCCAGGTTTTATGATTGAAGATCTCACGCACCTGCTGGTGGCATTGGAAAGGCACAATTAGGATCAAGTAAAACATCTCGTAAGATCCTAGAATCACGGGCACTACCCTCCCATCCTACCCTGACATAAGTGAATCTCATATTATGGTCACACGCAGCTAGAATTTTGTGTGATAAGCCACCAAGCCTATTCCGGTAATGATCCCTGTCCTCGGCTCTACACCAAGCTGATACGTGTGTTCCATCAATAGCTCCAACGCAATCCTAATTATATGGGCTAGCGTTACATATTGAACCAGTTTTCATAATGACTAACTAAAGGAAGAAACCCTAACCTTAAACCATGGCCAGAACAACGCACTGTTCTGTATTCTTGGATGAATTATGTGATAATCTATTGGCTTGACAAAGTCGCGTCCCAATCGAACGAGAGATCGAAGGCAGCGTCGTAGATGAAGATCCACTGTCTCGGAAAATTGTTGGAATCTCTCAGCCAGCACCCTATGTCGCTCATTATGACTCAAGCACAAAAGGCAAATGGCAACAGACTCATGAATTCCCACCCGTTGTGTAGGGTGCGGCTCCCAATAGCCCCGCTCAAGCAACAAGTCACATAATTGCAGGAAAAGGGGAGCTTCCATGCGAAGGTTGTCAAAAATTCTGGCTCGATAGCCATTTATTAGCTCTACCACCCTTTGAGCACCTGACTGTGCACCATCTCGGATTCGTCGTTGCTGCAAAGGGTTTAGGTACGGGTTGAATAAGGCAAATCCTAGAAGAACAACCATGGCATAGATCAAAAGGACCTCTTCCTCGTCCGATTCGTCAGAAATTTCCCCACCATGTGCATCATGATCATTTTCCATCAAGTGATCCTCAGAGAAATGCACACGCTCCGATGTATTGCGCCTTTGTTTTCTCATCTTAATTAACCCATAGACAAATCCAGAAACAACAAAATAAATGCATTGACAGGCATGAGAATTAGAGATACAGCTAGGACATACTTAATAATAACCAAGCAGGAATAGGAGGAGCAAGAATTACCTTGTAGTAGTTAGAAATGCACTGCGTTAAATCGTTTTCCCCCCAAGAAGAAATGGATGAATGAGTAGTCTGGATGCTATTTAGTTTCATTGCTGGTTTGATAAGGAAAAAAATTGTTACTTTCAGTAGGCAAGGCATTGAGCAAAGGGGATAAAAGCAAGAAATATACCTTTGGCAGCACGGCGGGTAATAGGAGGCATGTAGCCTTAAAAGGCGGCAATGGTTTAAGTCAGATTCACCGGTTTTTTAGAGACCCAAGGAAGTTCGAATTTAGACAGCCTACAACGTGTATAAGAAGTTGGTTTCAGAAAATTACATGCCTTAAATAGCATACACCATGCCATCTCGGAAACAACACAGTAGTAGAAGAATATTATGGCAAATGGAGTTCAGGTTGCAATTAAACAAGGCAAGACAAAATCCAAGTAGAAAACCACAGTAGAAAGCACCAACTTGAGCTAGACATCCACCTCCTATCCAAATACTATATTCAACCTCCCATTGTACTATGATTTTGCAGAATCTCCCGCCATAGAAATATGACAGGCTTGTTTTGTTACTTCAACTTCAATACTAGTAACGACTGATTTGAAGTATTTCTTCCTAATTGATTGAGATTCAATAAGGTCAGCAAGTTAAGAATCAGCAAACCTTAAACATTGGGGTGTTGAATTTCTACTAAGAAGCAGCAAACATGGTGGATGAATTGCTCTCATATTTAATAGTAGAATACATTATACCCAAAAAAAAATAGCAAAGGTCAATTGTTATTTAAACCGTTTCTTTAACGGAAAAGAAAAAAAAAATGAAAGCCGAAAGGAACTATTTGTAGCCCAGTAAACAAAGGGAGACTTACTAGATCAAGCAAATTCTTGGAAATCCACAGTGAAGTCGATTTTTAAGAAACCCATTCCTATTCTCATGTAAATCAGATAAAAGTATCGATTTTTCGTTGTTTGGCTTTAAAATTACAAAAATCCTTCAATATAAAAATAGCTCCACAGGACAAACATAAATAAGCTGCAGATGTCACACAGCAAGTTCAAAGGAAAGTGTCAGCAAGATTTCATGGCAAATTCATAACAAAAGCAAGAAAGCTAATCCCTGACTCCATGTGCTAAAGAAATCAACAGGCAATAAACTGTAACAAAGCCCTGACTATTTCAATTTAAATAAAAAGCTTTAATTTTGATGAACAAAAAATTAAGAAACAAACCTGAGCCAGGACAAAAACGGAACCAAGAGCAGGCGATGTGGAGGCCTTAGGTCATTGACGGCGACTTGCAGGAGGAAATGTCGTATCGACGGCGACGAGGAGGCTGGAGAGGTCGGGGGAACCAGGGCTCAGATGGGAGCAGCCGGGGTACGGGTGGCTGAAACTTTCACTAGAGTCCTTTAAACAGTTTTAAAAGGGGAAAGAAGAAAGAAATCAGAAAATGGAGAAAAGGAAAGGCAAAAAAATTTCCAGATACCTCGAACTCTCGCAATGGGTGAGGAGTGGGTCGGCTAACCTTGTCTAAATGGGTGAGGAGTTCCTGTCCTCCTCTCGAACTCTCGCAATGAGCCGCTGAAGAGCAAATGTCTGTCTAATTGTGAGGAGCGGCGGAAATGCACTCGATCAGGATGAGAGCCTTCTTTAGATCTCCGACAGTAGGAGGTGCAGCGTAGGGATTGAAGCAGCGGTCCGAGCACAAATTGGGAATGGTTTCTGTTTTAGGGCTGAGTAGTCAGTACAGCCTAATTCAACACATTTGGGACTTTGTTCAAAAACGACGTAGGTTAGCCTCGGTTTCACTGTACACTAATTTTTTTTTTTTTTTGAAATAATATTTGTTTTTATAGATATCCAAACCCCTTACAATTTCAAGTAATGACTTGAGAGGACTTTGAAGCACTGAGAAATCCAAAATTCCTCATGCGAATAATATCTAATGCATAAACGCTAATCCTGTTATTAATATGATTAAGATCTCTATTAACTAAATAAAAGGAGCACATGCGAAACAAAGACGGTGCACTAACTTGTTATTAGTTCATGGTATTTGTGTCCCACAAAGACAAAAACAGTTTATACTAAAAAAAAAATTGCAAATCCAAACGTAGCCCCAGAAATCAAGCTCCTAATATGCATCACCAAACAAGATTCACATATGCCAAGACAGGACGTTATAACATCCTTTCACTTCCCTTGGTATATTGCAAAAAAACCAGTCTGCATGACTTGACCAAGCCCCTGATCTTTATCAACAAGCAAGATTCCAATATGTCAAGTGTGTCATGCAAGATCCTCATGGTTTAGGCTCAGGTTAATAGAGACGAGTTATCTGATAGATGTAAGACAGAACTATTCTGTCCAGTCGTCAACTTTGTCTCCCCTCAGAACTTATCAGGAAGCTTGAACAGTTCTTTGCAACATTTTTTTTAATGATAATCCTATTGAAATTCCATATAACGTGCTCAAGTTTTCTTCCTAAATTTGTGCACAAATTGGTCAAACAACCTCACATTCAAGAATCTTCCTTGTGGAAAAAGTCTGCCAATTTTGCAAATCTTCTGTGCCTTGAAAAGTGACATATATTGCCGGCGAGCTTCCTTCCAGTTCTCTTACCAGATACAATTACCGGCGGAAGCAGCAGAAATTGATGTTAATTGTTTGGAAACATACTGAGCCTCTGTAGTTTTCCAAACATTTTGAAATTGTGAGCAGGGCATCACCCTGCCATTTGGAGACAAGAGGAACAATGGAACTCCATATTAGCATCCAATAGTAATACACCACCATATTAGCATAAAACTGAAAATAATAGCAAAACCACAATAGTACACTTTTTATAACAACTTTACTGCACAAAAAAACTTGAATCCAACAGGGAAAAGAAGTTATCAAACAAGTCAGACTCGGGCTCGTGCTGTATTGTAATATATACTTCTAGAAAACAAAGTCAGGATTCTAGTTCAGTATAATAGTTAACTATATCATTATTTCTCAGCCTTTTATGCCGCAAGACAAACACCATCTGCTTGTGTAATATCACCAGACCTGCTCTTCCTTCAGTGATAACCAAGTGGTGCTGGAGCCTTCCTCAGCTCATGTCCTTGATAATGAATGTCCTGCGTCAAAATCCAATTCAAAATCAAGCATCAAGAAAAGGCCTAACACTGCCCTGCAGGCAACAAAATCTGACGAGCATGACTATGACGGATCATGAAATAGCACAATGCTGACTGCCCTTACCGATGCAAAGTGGTTAACATCGCGGTGATGAGCCTCATCAGCCCTGACAACCATAACAACATCGCGCAAAGTCGAGTCAGGAGGCATGCGCCAGTAATCAATAGCAATAGCAGGCGCAGGTACATTTTCAATGGTGCCCTTATCCAATTCCTTGAGGAATTCAGTATAGGAATGAATTGCTTCCTCTTCCAAGTACCCCACGATGCGATGAGCCAATTTGGGTGAGAGAATGTATGTCAAAAAGTATGCATTGAAGAAAACTCCCTGGACCGCGAAAACGAGTGCACGTTCGTACCATCTTGGCTTTGAAACCTCCATGAAGGTCATGAGGTGCATCCTTTCATTCTCGGCTTCTTCAAGTAGAGCCTTGATCCAGCCTCCACTATGTTCAAATCGCCTCAATGACTTGCAGTGAAGCAGCATCCCTCCAACCATGCCGGGGACTGCTGCCACAGTCTCCAACATCATTGCTCGACATCCATACCTCCTCTGTTTCAATTTGCAACAAGTTAGGTCCAACTCTGAGATTATTGCAGGTCCCTCCATCCATGCCTAATGTCTTGATCTTTTTTTTTCCCCTTTCATACTTTTCAATTTCTTTGTTTGTATTATGGTAGACCATCAAGAAACAATCAAACAATTACTTCCATCAAGAATTTGCATGTAATTGTTACCACTGCAATTCTGAACTATCAATTGTATGCCATTTGACTACTAATTCCTGGTTATGTACAGTTCCTGACTTGGACAATTGCAACTGATTAACATGCCATCAATTCAAAATTCTGGTTTTTGAAGATCCAATCTCCCAACAATTATGACACTTTATGACACACACACACACACAGAGACACTCTTTATGTATTTCTTGCAAGATTCTTCATTTTTTTTCTATGTTGTGAAAGATATACAAAAAGTCCCTTAGAAAAATATATGAGAATAACGAAACATATTTCCTTTTTCTTCTAATCTTTTTTTTTTTCTTAGTTCAATAAGGGAATTAGATCTAGATTAGCAATTGAGATTTACAAATTTCTTGGAACAGTTAAGAGAAAAATAAGAAATTCAAGCTAAAAAAAATTCAAAAATTTATCAGAAAATACCTGAAAGAATAAATCGGTAGGCCACCTAAGGCTCTTGACGGTCCAAAGTGCAAACTTGTCCAAGAATGTCACTGGCACATGTTTTTTCTCCAGATCTATTGTCAGGTCTGCCTTGTAGGTCTCCCAGGGCTTCATACAAATATTATTTTCAATCAAAAATCAAAATAAATCCAACATAAAAAACCCAAAGAATAAAAATATATAAATAAAAAGTCAAATTCATCCCTTGTTAAAAATTTTCTTTTCATACATACCCTAAAGCAATTCCAGCTCCACTCAGAACCATCTTCTTTGGTAACTTTAGGTGGTTCAACACCCCAGTAACTCACAACCACCTTATTCCGATTTCCACCGTCACCTGCCGTGGTGGTGGCACCACCAGCTGCACCACTTTTCACCGCCTTCACCTCTTCCTCATCCTCCACCTTCTTATCACCCAAAGCCAACGTGCTCGCCTGGCGTGAACCAATTCCTCCATACCCAAACCACGCCACCATCACGTTCTCCGACGGCTTAGCTGGATTGCCATGCAAGAAACCCGTGGTTCCACATGCAAAAAGTTTCCCTAAGCTGGTGTCGTGCGGACCCATGGCTGCACCGGAAAAATAACGCGGCCCCATGTGGCCGATCACCGACCGGGCAACCCTTGTTGCACCACGGCTCATCATCTTCCTTTCAAGAGAGAAGAACAAGATTTCTTGGTGTTTTTAAGGTTTACGAGATCTTTGGAAAGAAATTTCTGAGGCGTAGAATTTTCTTGTTTTTTCCCTCCCTGTGTGATGAAGGGGGATTTTATAGTATGGTTCTATGGGTCACGTGCATGAGTTGGTTTATGGTAATTTGTATGGCGGTGGAAAATGGTGGTATTATTTTGTTGCTATTATTGTTTTCTTTTTCTCCTTTTTATCTATGGAAAATGACCATATATTTAATTGTCTACCCTCTTTGACTATAGTCTAGAGAAGCATCAAAGGACTAAAGTGCCTAGAAGGTTTTGAGGGTTAACATATGTATATCATCACAAAGAGGGTATGGTAAAGGTCAAAATGGTCTTTTAATTTATGATGACCAAAACTTCTAGAACTTCTCTCTAGAAATGTATCACAATATGAGATCAATTTTGACTTTGGATACTAGTAAAATCTGTCCTCTAAAAAGGAGAAAATAATAAAATAATAATAAAAAAAATCTCATGAAACTCTCCGTGTATCTAGTGTTGTCTAACAGATGTACATTGGACACTTGAGAGTCCTCTCGTGTTGAATTTTTTTGAAAATATAAAACTAGATTTGGAAAAGCTTATGTATGAGTTTTTATAATCAAATGATAAATTATACGGAAATTAGGGTGTATAAATGACTTGACATCAATTAAAAAGTTTCTACTTTGAATTTGAACAAAAAAAAAAATATTTGCACGAAAATATAACCTAGTTGAAAATGCAAAGTAAATAAAATCAATATCATGGACCTTTTTTTTTAATGCATTTGGAATTTGGACTAAAGAGAGAGTAAATATCTTAAACATAGAATGTCATACATTAGGTGGACTTTTTTTGTTATCATCTTAATCCGTAACTTATTTTGACTAGAATAATTCAGAAAAGATAAGCTGGGGAGTATTTAGGAATATTCCGAAGTTTCTAGGAGAGCAAGAAATATTTCTTTAATAAAAAAAAAGCTCAAAAGAATGCCGGATTGAGTTTTTCTTGGGGAGCAAGTTGCGGAACGTTGCGTGAGGCCCAAGAGTTGGTTCGAAGCGTTGAACCTGTCACAATTCTTTTAACAGAAGAAAAAAAGGAAAATAATGAAAATAAGCAAGTAACGTGTCTGAGCCTGCAACGACTGGGTCCCAAGGGCCTATGTTCTAAGTGATGGCTCTAAAAAAATGTCCAGTACAGATTCTTATTTATTTATTGTGTTTGTGCTTTCAAACTATTTTTTTTCTTTTTTTTTTATTTTTAAGATTAAAGTAATGGGATATAAAATGTTCGATGTACTCAATTAGGTATCTTCGTCCTCTGTTAGATTTATGTTTCTTTGGTCAAATTTAACTTTATGCTAATTTTTTGTTTATCAATTTTTAAGATTAAAGTAATGGGATATAAAATGATCAGTGTATTCAATTGGGTTTCTTCATCCTCAGTCGGATTTATGTTTCTTTGGTCAAACTTAACTTTATGTTGAAATTTATTGAAATTATCACATAGTGGTGTTTATTTATGTTATTTTTCTGGCTTGAAGGGAGACACAAACTATGTTTATTTATGTTAAATCACAAGAAATTTATCTCGATCCAAACTACCTACTGGACTGGACTAGCAAGCGCAAGTCTAGTAATTGGTCTCTGACCAATCTAGTATTATCGATCAGACAAAGAAGTATCCAACTAGGAGGATTGAAAATGAATCAATCTATTCGATACTCGAATCGATCTTGATTTGATAAGAGTTCGTTCGAAATTGATTCGTAAATTAGTCAAGTTATATTTGAAAAGCATTTTATGTTCAATAGCATTCAAATTCGATAAAAGTTCGTTCAAATTCAGTTCGACAAATAAACAAGTCAAATTTAAATAAAATTTTAGATTTGTTAAAATAATCAAATATGTTTAGACAGTAGGGTGCTTGGCTTAATTAGTCTCATTTGTAGCCCTTCCAACTAGAGAGATCGACAAGACTTCAAGTTTTAGAAGAAAGAAAGAGAAAGGGGAGATTTTCTCTGATCAGACATTGCACCAACCAAATTGAGGCCTTGCTGATTCAAGAAATAAGCAGACATGGGGCATATGAAGAACCAAGTAGACGAATTTAAGAATTCTTATTACACATTCAAAGAAAATTCTTTCAATAGGTTAGAGTTTTGGTGTAATTAACCCAAAAAAAGTTTGCCCTCTAGCCGAACTCTTGGCCACTCAATTGATTAACAATCTAATCCGCAACTTTTTATTGCTCAAATCAATATTTTGAGAAAGAAATAAGTGAATCTAAGTTTAGATAATTTCATCCAAATATCTCAACTCAATACTCTTGAATTTATGGAATTCAATAATTCCATGTACTCAATGTTTATGTTCTTCTTTAGAGTGTTAAAGTTTAAGGAGATTCTAAATCTTATAAAGAAAAAGGGAGAGAGAAAGGGACAAAGAGGACTTGAGAGTAGAATTAGAAAAGTGATCATCATCCAATTATCCAATTGCAGTTGCTATCAAAATGCACCTGTGCTTAGAAACATTTCAAAAAAAAATTTGGATTGTTGCTCTTTTTATAATTTTTTTGAGTTTTTTGAAAATATTTCTTAAACACAATTTTTAACTATCCTTTTATATTATACCCATCACATCTTAAGAAAGTGTTAAGAGTTTACTTCTAAAAAATACAATCCAAACGTTATGTACCCCACTTGTAGAAGCGTTACTTATAAGTCAAATATACATGACAAGCAGGAAAATTTCTGTCCAAAAGGCATGCATTGTGCACCTCACCACTAGAACAGCTAAAACCAAATACGCAATAGGCAAGGAGGCATTACAGGATAACTAACAGGACAGCAACGTTTACTTGAATATCGATCATCATTATCAGACACCTAGACTAGGGCACTCATTCTTGATGAACAGTGAAACACCTTTTTAACTATTTGCACAATCTTACAATATAATTATGATATAATATTTTGTTACTATTCATATGGGTGCCATAGATAATAATTACGTGTCTTTTATGAAATTTTACAAGTGATTCACGTAAACTTACAAGTTGTTCAAAAAGTGTTATATTATTCGTGAATAGTTGTAATGACAACTGTTCCTGCCCTACTCCCCGTGCTGCTGCACTGCTTAATAAGTGTAAAATCTTAACCTTACATTCAACTGTAAGGAAGATTCTTCCACTTTGCTACAGGAAAACAGCAGAAATAGCCCTCACATTTGAGCTTGTACTTTTTAATTCCTTACTTTTAAAGCAACAGGAATGTATCTCTTATATTTTAATTTTGTATATTTTTAATGCCTCACTTTTAAAATGACGGCCTTAGTCCCTTCCCCTTACATACACAAAAATATACTATTTTCATCCCAAAAATCAATTTTGATAAAATTTTCACTTGAAATAACAAAAACCAATATGCCAAAATGTTGTTATTATATGTGTAAAATCACCAAAAAAATCACAAAAACTAGTACTAGTACCATTTGAAGCTAATTGCAGTAGGAACCACCTTAGTTTAAGTACTACATTTAGACAAAAACTTCAAAATATTTAAAAAGAAAAGAAAATAAATTAGAAAACTCTTGAAAATCACTCATAATTTGTTATTTTGAAGAAATTTTCTTGTTGTGCCTTGAAAACACCTCAAATAAATTTTAAATACTAAATTAAATATTTTACCTTTGCTTAGTTTAAAGGGATAATTTCAAAAACCTCTCCTGAGGTTTCTAACTATTTCACTAGCCTCTCTCCAAGTTTCAAAAATTACACTAACCTCCCTTGAGATTAATTATCTTGTAACATTTAATCCCATTCAATATTTAAAAAGTAATATTATGAGAGAGAAAATAATATGATTTCATCATTGCTCTCATCTACTACATTATTTAATTAATTGCATATCAACCCACACATGAAAGAAAAACACTAAAATTTGTTGTTCATCATTAGAGATCAAATCATGTATAATATTAAAAAATAGTATATCAATTTATAATTTTCACTTGATACAAGAACCAAATTACTTCTTTCATTTATATGTCATTGTTAAACATGATCAACAACAAATAATTAAAAAATTTGCAACCAAATATTACACAGAACAAACGTTAACATCATAACTATTCTTGTCAGCATATTAAGGTTAGTTATTGAGATTTTATGTTATTAATCGCTCTTTGTAATATTTTGGCTACAAAATTTTTTTATTATTTGTTGTTAATCATGTTTGATAATGGGTTTGTAATTGAAAAGAGTAATTTAGATTTTACATTAAGTGAAATATATAGAATGATATACTATTTTTGTTTCCATATGTCATTTATTCCTTGATGATAAACAACCAATTTAGTGTTTTCTTTAATGTTTGGATTGATATTAGATTAATTAAACAATTTAGTAGATGAGGGGCAATGGTGGAATCATATCATCTTCTCTCTCCTAATATCATTTTTTAATTATTGGTTAGACCTAGATATTATAAGATAATAAACTTCAAGGGAGGTTAGTGTAGTTTTTAAAACCTGAAGGGTAGCCAGTGAAATAGTCATAAACCTAAGGGGAGCTTTTTGAAATTATCCCTAGTTTACACTTGATCTTAAGAACTTTCAATTCTTAAAATAATAATCTAGAATTCATAGAACAAATTTAGGTATCTCCATAATACTTTTTTTTGAACTTAGGTTCAATTTAGGTCAAAATTAGAATTGTAGATGCAAATATAACTAAAATAGAATGGGGATGAAAATGGTGCATTTCACATATGTGAAGAATCAAATTATTCCATTTTTTCAAAAATGCACCATTTTAAAACTGAGAGATAAAAAATTATAAAGGCTTGAACATTGTAGAGAAGTTATTGGGTTATACACATTAAAAGTTTCATATACAAGATTAAAAGATATTCATGTAGAGGCTTGAACGATAAGTTTTTAAAATTTATAATTTAATTTGTGAAACAAATTAAACCTAAAAAATTTATTGTGTAAATGAGAGTAATTCTTCTAAAACAAGAGTAGTATTAGAAAATAGAAACTAAATTCT